AGTTATGGCATGAGTATCAAAACACAACTCAAGACCTTCCGCTAAGAGAAGAACGACAAGATATGGATAAGATCATTCCGGTCACTTATAATCCGTATATTGGAAGAATATATGGAGAAATAGCTAAAAAGAACCACATACGTATAGCATACAGAAGATGCGCTTCGATCTTCAACATCCTAACCAACGGAAAAGATCAACCGGACAAGGATAAGCTGTCAGGGGTCTACAGCATACCGATTATAGATCGCAGATGTGATAAAAACCTTCTGTATGTGGGCTCCACCAAGCGATCCTTAGAGGTTAGACTCAAAGAACACGCTGCGGATATTCAGAAACAAAGGAACACGACGACCCTAGCAGTATATGCTTCCGATCCAGATATAGAACCCGAATTTAAGAAAGCAAGAATTATCCGCACCGCACGGCACGTACACCATATCAGATGGCTAGAGGCGGCCAGCATATATTTGGCTAACCTTAAGGATAATCAATGCATCAATTATAAAGAAGAGATTACGTTATCAACAGCGTGGCTAGCGTTTATGAATAGTAATTTATGATAGCCCGTTTGGAGTCGACTGCGCATGACATACAACGACGGAAACGGGAAACGTGCATTCGAACTTACATATTTCGAATTTAAAGTTTTTACGAGCTGCATTTTCCATCAGAGATTCGAAAAAACCTGAAGAAGAACCGGTTAAGGGTTCGAAAACGTTAGTTTTGATTCGTTTTGGATCGTTAAGAGTTAGTAGACACACCGGTAACAGGTTAGAAAGAGGTAATTATATTAATAACAATTTAATTTCAGTGGAGGAGTACATGATACACTACAATAGACACCTCAGTATAGATGTATATATAGATTTAGCCTATCACTAGCAGTCGCAAGAGAGAGTTTACATGAGATATGCACATGGATAAATACCTTATAGAGAAGTTGAGGATACTCTTTGATACTGATCAGATTGATGAATTGATGACTTGATGATTCGGAAGTTTCGATGGAAGATTATTGATATTCGGATTGTTCCAGTAACAGGAGAGTTTTTGGAGGGAAGTATCCGACATGTGTAAGGTATCTAAGAACTCGTGCTTGTAAGGTATCTGAGTGTGGTAAGGTTACCAGATGGAAGGTTTTTGAGAACACTTATGAACTCCAGAGAGGGCAAACTTTCAATGACAACAGACCCTTTTTTCGACAGACGAACTCTCACACTAGAAATTGAGTTGATGATGACTGCCTTGCTTGTCATCCTTTTTTTTTTATTATGGGGCTTCTCTTGGGTTTTTCCCATGACTTCGCTAGAATTTTTAGTACATCAGGGCTAATAGTTAAATGACGGTTAAGCACGCATAACATCATGTTTGCAAAACGGTGAATGCAGATGAAATATATTCAATTCAAAATTAGTTATGGGGGTGGGTTCCCTCATAACAAAGTTTCCATGCGTTAGATATACATGATGTTACGCGTGCTTAACCGTCATTTCAGCACGAGCATAATGTTCTATTTTTATATCTAATGCATGGAAATTTTGTTATGAGGGAACCCACCCCATAACTGATTTTGAATTGCGCATATTTCATCTGCATTCACCATTTTGCTAATAGTTAAAATTTCATTCATGGGTTCTGGGTGACACATTGACTGTCACCTTCAACAAGGAAACAAATCTGTGGGAAACAGTTTTAATTGTCTTTGACTAAAAATTTTTTTTTTCATTTTGTTTCTCTAAAATGTTCCTAAAAGAACAAATGTCAAACAAACAGGTTCTTCACCACGTTCTGCTCTCACAATTTGTAATAATGTTTATTGGTTTTTATGAAGTTTTTTGCTTCAAGTTGCCTAATGTACAGTCATCGAATGGAATGAAAGAAGATTTAATGGACTTGAACATTATTCATATTGATTTTTTTCTAATTGTGAAAATACTTTTTCAGATATATATTAGTGTTATTAAACTTCTGTCTTATTGTTGGAATTAAACTTATAATACCAAAGAACTATAAACTTTTCTGAAGTTTCATTTGACAAGAACTGTAGTATAGTAGTAACAAAAAAGAAACTTTAGGTCATAAATGAGAGAAAATTGATTAGCTTTCCATGTTTTAAAATGATTGGCAAATTGCCTTTGTAACATGATCTTTCAACTTTTACCAAACAAACACTGTTGTCAAACTGTTTTAACAGCTTTGTTTTAACAGTGTAATTTTTAATAAATCAGTTACTGAGAAAAGTAAAAATGTTAAAAAAATTATATTTACTTCATAACTATATAGCAGACAAATTTTTGTATTGATTTTTATTAGTCACTAAATCATAAATAACATTATAAATGTAACAATTCCAAATATATTTCCATCCTGTGAAGTGGATAGCAAATCGCCTTCAGAACTAAACATTCAAACAAGATTTTTACAATCGAAAAAATAAATAATATAATGTGTGTGTGTGTGTGTGTGTGTATATATATATATATATAAATTATACAGTATATTCACATTCCTAATGCAAATTTGATGTTTTCATAATCCATTGTATTCTTCATATTATAATAACCAGGTTAAAATACAATATGGCCATCACCATGTACCTCCAAATAGCAGACACACCTAAATAGCAGACAAACTTCTTGGTCCTGACAGTGTTTGCTATTCAGAGATTTTATACTGTAATAATGAAAAGTTACATCTTAACAACAATACTGGAAACAGTAAGAGAAATGATCTTTACAATCCAGAATCATTAAAAATTCTGTGTCTGAACTTTAGATTTTATAACACCATCATATATATAAGGACCTTGAATAAGTTCTTGCTGTTTTTTTGTGAAAATTAACAATTTATTTTAAAAAAGTTGTAATAAACACGTCACTGAAAGTATTGTCCATCGCTAGCCACTACTTTCTCCCATCATTCTGGCATTGTCATGTTGCAAAATCACTTCGTCGTGTCTCTGCTCATATAGCGGTTGTTTTTCCTTCAATGCTTGGCTCAAACGCATCAATTGTAGTCGATAGCGATCTCCCATGATGGTTTCATTTGGTTTGAGCAGCTTGTAATAAACTACACCTAGCTGATCCTACCAAATGCAGAGCAGAAGCTTCAAACCATGGATATTCGGCCTTGCTGACGATGTTGATGCATGGCCAGGCTTACCCCAAAATTTTCTACACTTAGGGTTATCGTAGTGTATCCATTTTTCGTCACCTGTCATGATACGATGCAGAAAACCTTTCCTTTTCTGCATCGTATCGTTTTCTGCATTTTTCGTCACCTGTCACGATATGATGCAGAAAACCTTTCCTTTTCTGCCGTTGAAACAGCTGTTCACATGTGAAAAGACACCGTTCAACGTCTCTCGGCTTCAACTAGTATGGCACCCAATGTCCTTGCTTTTGAATCATTCCTAATCCTTTTGAACATTTCGAAACTGTTGTGTGATCAACTCCTAATGATTCTGCAAGTTCTAGCTGAACTTGCAGAATCATTAGGAGTCTGACATGAGTCTTCATAAAGTAATGCCTCTAATTCCTCGTTTTCAAACTTTTTTGGTGCATCACATCGTTCTTTATCTTCAACATCAAAATCATTATTTTTGAAGTGTCTAAACCAATCTCTGCATGTTGTTTCCAACAGAGCATGGTCGCCGTAAGTCTTAACAAGAATTCTGTGTGCTTCAGCTGCAGTTTTTTTTTTAATAAAATAGTGCAATAAAATTCCCTGCAAATACTCTTTTTTTTTGGCACGAAACTAGACATGTTTAACACAATGAAAAAAATAAGTTGTTTACACTTCGGTGAAATGACATATACTGAATTTCAAGGTCACTTATTGTACTTCCTTACAGATGCGTCACCATCTAAAAATAAACACACGTGGTTCTGGTAACGCCATCTGTTAAAGAACTGCGAGAACTTATTCAAGGTCCTTACATTATCTAATTTAGCTACTGTAAGGACTGTAAAAAACTTAAACATAGCAATCAGTGCTTCAATAAATCTTACACGAGAAATTTTAAAATTTTGTTAATAACAAACATTCATAAGTAGACAGTTCCTTTTGTTACACCAAAGAAAAATAATTTCAAACTTAGCAAGTAGAAATTCATTTTTTAGTTCTAGGTTAAAAATTTGAAGTTTCAAGACAAAAATAACTCTCAATTACACAACAAATTTTTAAATTCTAACTCATTAAGTAAATTTTCATGAGTCTTTCACAAGAATTTGCTTTCAGATCTGTCATTCTGATTAGAAACTTCATTTCGACTTACTAATTCTATCATTCAGCTCTTTATAGTTGGGAATAATGTTGCATTAATCTTTATTGCTTGTACACACGTATATTTTATTTTTCTATTGACAAACTTCAACCAGAGAATACAAATCTACTTACATTTTTTATTTATTTATTTGTGGTTTTAGGCCCCTTACCGCTCAGAGAGCACAAAGAGGCCAAATCTACTTGCATTATGCAAATTCTCTCAATTTCATATCATAGCAAAATAATGAAATAAAATTTCGTAAAACATTAACATTAATCATATTGTAATCTTAACTTATATACACAAAGTAATATGCTTCCAAAATATTTTGGTTAGAGCATAACTTTTTTGTATTTTTTATTACATTTTATGGTACATGAAATTAAAACAATTTTGGACTTTTTCTATGTTTGAGCATTGAAATAATATTATATTTGAGAATGAAAGTAGATATAATTTAATTACCAAATAAAATATATATAATATTAATTCAATTAGAAATACTGTTTAAAATTCTGAAAAAAATTAATTTTCAGATTTGACTGTATATAAAACTACATGAAAATAGTGCATAGAAAATTCTATATTGTTTTTATTTTAAAAAAGTATTTTGTGCATTTTAAATTATTATATGAAATATTAATTGTTATAAATAATTTATAATAAACTCTGTTTTGTAAATTAAAAATTTGAGGTCTTTCAGTATTCATTATAAACATTATAATTGAAACTGCTTTTTATTTTAATGATATTTTGAAATTTAAATCGTCATGTTCAATTACAGGTGCATTGCATCAGTCACAAAGTGGTTCTCAACCAAGAATAGATGGTATGGAAAGGACAACAAGTTATGGAAGAGAATCAAATGATGAAACTAGCTCTACTGGTAGTGATAAATATGAAAAAGATGTTGTAAGTTTAATTTACATGCTTTGAAATATTCAGAGTTTCTGTTAAATGAAATATTTAAAAACAAAAAAATTAACTTTATTCATTATCATAGCGTAGCTTATTTAAAAAAAAAAGACAAAAGTTTTTCATTTATGAATTTAATGCATTCATAACTGAAAAACTTTCATCTTTTTTTTTTAAAAAAAATAACTCTATACTCAACCCTAATCCAGGTTAAGTAAATGGATTAGGGTCTTGGAACTTTTTAGCCTCCATAAGTCAGAAAGGATTGGAGAATTATTTTTCCGTGTACTGGTTAATAGTGCAAACAAGTAAAGACTGATTATCTGACTTCATCGTTTTTAATAATTTTTTAAAATTATTTTAATGCATTCATAACTGAAAAACTTTCATCTTTTTTTTTTTAAAAAAATAACTCTATACTCAACCCTAATCCAGGTTAAGTAAATGGATTAGGGTCTTGGAACTTTTTAGCCTCCATAAGTCAGAAAGGATTGGAGAATTATTTTTCCGTGTACTGGTTAATAGTGCAAACAAGTAAAGAACTATATTACTATCAGAACTACTGTGAGTTACAATAATTTTCATGTCTTTCAAATAAAGTTAAATATCATTTTCAGCCAATTTCATTATTCTGCTAGTACTTTATTATAACAATCTTTAGAAAAGTTACAATGTCATTTTGTAATTTAAAATGACTTTAATTGCTCAGACAATATATTGTTATATCTATCTTTTATGGAGATTCAATCTTAATGGTAAAACAAAAGAATTCAAGTTGAGAATGGGTTGAAAAATCTGTGCAGATGGTTTAAATTTGTCAATATTCATTTTAAAAGACTTTCATTTCTACATAATAATAATAATGTAAATTTTTATACACACATTCAAAAAGAGGTGTCTAAAATGAAATAATTTGCTAATGCTGTTACTTATATTCATTTTGGTAATAAGTGTTGTTCAATTGGTTTTTAATTAAAAATCAACAGATAAAAAATTGTTTTGTTTATACAACAGTGCTGGAGCTGAACAAGAACAGATGGACCATGTGCAACATGGTTTACAACTGTGGTTTAAGCATTTACTTGATTAGAAAATATGCAAACCTACTATTTGAATTGAGCGATTTGTTTTACAATGAGAACTTATTTAAAAATTCTGTGATTAGAGAAAAAAATATTTTATTCTAAAACTTCAAGTTTCTGAAATTCCTTCTTCAATGTAACCTATTGAATCAAGATATTTAATAGATTACACTTAGTTTTTCTATAATTATTTGTTATAGTTATAGAATAACTGATGTTGAACGTGATGTTCTTGAAGATTTGCTTGATTCTATATTTAAAAATGCATAATCATTAGAACATTCATTAGTTTGAATGTTCCTAAAAATTTTAATGTGCTAGAAAATAAAATAGATTAGGGAATTTTTATTTTACTTGTTTAATATATTATTTTTTTCTAAATGTAGATTTAATGTTTAGATTAAATTTTTAAATAAGTTGATGTTACAAATTTAAATTATTTTAATACATTTCTTAAATTATATTTGATTGGATCTTTAAAATAATTAGTAATTTTTAATATTTAAAAAGAATTTGTTTTACATTATTTTTACTATTTGCAAAATGCATACAAAAATATTTCAAAGTTTTAGTGTGTGTGTGTTTTTTTTTTATTATTAAAAACAAATTTAACAAAAACTGTATTCTAATTTTAAATAACAGGCAATATTAAATCATTGTTTTGATGACATTGAGAGGTTTATTGCTCGACTACAGCATGCAGCAGCAGCTTTTAAAGAATTAGAAAGAAGAAGAAAAAGTCGCAAAAACAAGAAAAAAGACATGGGAGGTATGTGATTTTAAAAAATGTTTAGATTTGTAACATTTTACAAATAGTTTATATTATGAAATTAAAATATATAACTAAATAATACTATCAATTTGTATTTAGATGGTATGTTAAGTATGAGAGCAAAACCACCTCCAGAAAGACATTTTGTTGATATTCTTCAAAAATTCAAGCTGTCATTCAATTTATTAGTGAGTATAAAGCAATATCAATATTTTTAACATAGTAATAATCCTTATGATGTATTATATTTATTATTTTTCAGGCTAAGCTGAAGAGCCATATTCATGATCCTAATGCCCCAGAACTTGTTCATTTTTTATTTACTCCTCTTGCACTTATTGTTGATGCTGCAAAAGATTCAAATTACAGTTCAAATTTACCAGCAAGAGTTGTTACACCTTTACTAACAAGAGAAGCAGTCGACCTCTTAATGAATTGTTGTACATCTAAAGAAACAGATCTCTGGAATAGTCTTGGTGATGCTTGGCTCATACCAAGGTTAGTATGAAAACTGTTTAGATATTTGTAATAGCAGGAAAATATGTATAGGCAAATTTATGATTATACATCAATGGAAATTTTTAATCATGAAAAGTAAATTTTAAACAATGTATCCTGGGGACCTATTCTGAGCTCTTCCAATAGCTCAACAAAAGCAGTAAACGGGACATACGATAAGTCTCCTTAGCCAAAAGCAGTTAACAAATCTTAGACAAATTGCTATTCTCTGATCCATGTTAAGTAGATTTTGCTACAGGTAATTGGTTGAGATGCATCTGGATTCCATGCTATTAATAGCTATTATGCTTTAACCAATCACAATTTAGTTAACATTGTCTTTTTGTTGCTTGACTGAAACTTACCGTTTTCAAGTAAAGCATGTTTTTAGTTTTATTGTATACCAGCATTAGCCAAATTTTTTTTCTTCTGTTAAAATCCATCAAAGAAGGGACAACACAATCAGTGAACTAAGAGTTGTCAGTTTGAGATATTAGTTGAAACACTTCAGCTCTAGCTTTTTCTGTAATTCATTGCATAAATGTAATAGTAATAACTTTGGAAGATAAAGATCTTTAAAGTGTGTATCATTCAGCTGAAAAGCATTATGTTGAAGACGAAACTGAGATTAATGTTGTTGTATGCTAGTTTTCTCTCATGGAGTAATATCATTACACCTAAAGTTGCCAAGTTTTTTTTTACTTTTGTTGCATTTCTAACGGCACCTTGAGAGTGATTGATAAGAAAAGTTTAGTTACTGCACATAGCTATCAAAAACAAAACATACAACACAGAATAGCATTTTCACAGTTGATTAAACACCAATCACCCAATCATGTGGTTCCATTTGAAACTGGTTTTTATCATATTCTTTAGCTTAACAATAAAGCTCGGAATAGGTCTCTGGGACTGCTTTAAAATAAGATTTGAAGGTCACCTGCTATTTTCAATTGCAAGCTATTACTGAAGTCATAAAAATAAGTATTTTTATACTTTTCATGTAAATAGTCTTAAAAATTGAAGTTAAAGTATATTTTTAAATAAATTGTGTTTTATAATATCGAATTTTTTCGAAAATATATCTAAAATCATTAATGTTGAAATAAAACAGCAATTAAACGTAAATATTCAATATTGACTTTTGTACCAGATTTCAAAACACTTACACTGCTTTATCTAAGTCTAATTCAATGAGTTATCAGAATAGTTAAAGATCAATAACAAATGAGGAACAAAGATGCGATTAAATCTCATTGCAACAAAATGATTTAAAACCATAGAAGATGGTCTTTCAATTGATAGTTTACGAAAAATAATATTAAATTTTTTAAAAGTTATTTATATCCGAAATAGTCTTTACCTCCTATTCATATAAATGGATATTCAAATTATCTTCAGTTGTAGTCCGAATATAAAATCATTTTATTGATATTTTTCTACATAGATGATTATTGACCATTAATTTTACGTATTCAACAAACCTTAACAACTCCATTTTTTAAGTTTTTAATTCGCAAGAATATAACAATGGTATGGTAATCTTTTGCCAATTTTCATAGTTGTAATCTGTGAGAGATAGCAAATATAAATTTTTCTTTTTTCATAAAAATTTGTTAGAGAAGTTATTGCACAAAAGAGAATTTGAGCTGGAAACCGATGTAAACCCTGAATGCTTATGAACAATTCGCATTGTTTACAACTTTCATTCTGATTAATCCCATTGCAAATGAAGCTTGACCATATAGTTAACATTTTTATATTTGGGCCTTTCCGCCCTGTGAGTACTAAGAAATATTTTTCCGAATCCATCGAGAGTTCGGACAAATTCGCAATATATCAATACAAACCACCGGCTGGTGAGGGACGAGCCCAATATACCCGGTCTTACTTCCTATGAAAAATTCCTGGAATTGCTCGTCCGGACTCGATCTTGGGTTCCCCAAAAGCGGTTAAGGCGTACTTAACCGCCTCGGCCATCCGGTCGTCTATGTAGTTAATTTGTAAATTAATGCTACGCTTAGCAAATCCAATTCAATCTATAAAATCCGATGTTTACCGCATGAATTAAGATGGATATTAATAGACAAAAATGCACTTAGTGAATAATAATAAAAAGAAANCTTTTATAGACAGCTTTATGCCTCATAAAGTATTTTTCTGAGGTCTGTCTTATCAGGTAAATTACTGTACACAGTGTATTCATTAATTTTCATTTTCATGTAGTGGCTCTATGCCTTCATAAAGGACGTACTTTTCCTTTGTTTAAGGGTATTTGGGCAGTTTATTCTCTGTTATATTCTCAAGTAAACAATACATACAAGTATAGTGCAGTATTTTCTGAGGACTCCACACTCGTACTTATTTTTTTAACGCCATTCCCGATAACCCGGCATTTTTCACAAACTCGGCCACCCTTCGGTCCACATTAGGCAGAGTTTTCGAGGCTCTACTGTATCTGGGAATCAATCAGCATAAATTAATTATTTTTCTTTCTTAGTAATTTTTACAAATCAAATTTAAATCATACCTAATTGATCAGTAAAGGATTTGTTGTCTAGAAAGAAATACAGTAGAACCTTGATTATCCGGACTAATTGGGGATGAAGGTAGTCCGGATAAGGAAAAATCCGGATAATCGAAACAAATACTTTAATTTGTCATTTAATGATAATATCGATTCGTTTAATGATAATATCGTTTCTTTTCAATGACATATCGGTAATATTAAAAATAAATACTGTATTTAAATCATGAACAAATTTTCAAGAAACAAATGTTTGTATTGAATTTGGACTACTACTGACCAGCGCTAACAGACTACCTATTGTTTAAAAGGCCTTCTGGTGGCGCAAGAAGACGGATTTTATAAAATAAAAATGCAGTTGAAACTGCATTTTTATGAATAAAAATTTGACAAACTATTTATCGTTTTATGACGAGTAAAATTTTTTCGTCACGTTCACAGCTTTTAAGTAATGCATAAACCTTCGAGGTGCAAGGCCTTTCGAACTGTGAGGCGTAGGCTGTGACCCATGTCATCCATGCCTTACGCTGCCCTTGGTCATAGAAATGATATAATTTGAATATAAATTATTTATAAATACATATGTCAAGTTATATTTTTACTACGACGTAAAATATATTTAAGAGTTTACGACAACTATGCTGGGTATGACGTTGTTGAAACAAAAAAAGTTATGCATTCTATCACATACATAAACAGTGTCGTAATTCGCTAAGTGCAAATCAGCAAATTTGTAAAATTTTTGTTTATTTTGAACAATCCGGATAATCAAAAATCCGGATAATAGAGGTTCTACTGTATACGTATTGACACCTGTATTAAAAATGACAAATTATAACTTATTACTTTTTTTTTCCGATATCAGTAAAAGTAAAATTAATAAAAGTTATGGATCAAAATTGTGACAATGTCCTCTGCTTCAGGTAGTAGGCTACTCCACAAATATATTGTACAAAGGGAAGTAGGTTTCTTTGCATATTTCATGTGTATTCCAGAAAGTGTTCTTGCAGCTTAATGAGTATTGAGAAAGTACTTTGTTTTGTTTTTATAACTGTCTAAAACATTATTATAAAGCTTTTGATTGACTAATTTTGTTATTCTGTAGATTCTCTATACCTCTAACAGAGTCATAAATGAATTTATTTGGAAATGTAAACATTATGAAGCACTTTAAAGTGACAATAAAAAAAACTTTTCAAAAATGCATTTATTTTGCTGTTTGAATATACAGTAGAGCGTCGATTATCCAAATCAATTGGGGACTGGGGTTGTTCGGAAAATCAATATTTCAGATAACCGATTATGTATGAAAAAATATATTAACCTATCCCATGTTGAAATTTTTCTCTGTTGTGTGTCGCTTCGCGTTGAATTTTCGTCGATGTTAAGCCTAACATAAACTTTTTAAAGTAATAATCGTGACTATTGTATCATTGAAAATTATTTCTTTATTTTGTACAAACAAAATAAATATATTGAAAAATATAAAAACAATAAAAAATTATACTTCAGAAGTTAATTTAGTATCAAAAACATAAAATATTTGACAAGCCCAAGACATAGCCAAAGATTGCAGCACCACAGCACTGGCAAAAATTTAAATTTGCCAAATGGAATTCTTTTGGACAATTGACTTTCGGATAATCGACACTCTACTGTATTAACTTCCTGTGGCTGCATGTTTGGTGATATAGGTAGGATGTGCATTTCATTTGCATGCTAACTTTTTAGGTTTTGTCATTTATAAAATTGGGTGTGCATTAGATTTGATGGCACATTAGAATCAAGAAAACATAATGTACTTTTTGATAAATATCAGCTTCAAATTAAATTAATAGTTTATAGTTTATTTAGATTTATAACTTTTACATAAGTTTATGCATAATTTTCACAATAAACAATGAAATAAATAAGGAATTTCTGCATTTGCAGCTCTTGTTGCTATTTTTATTAGTTTTATTGAAATTTTTTGAAGATATCTTTTTATGTATTGAACATTAAGTATAGTTAATCTCCCTAAGTTTTTTTTTCACATGATGTAGTTATGATGAATGAATTTCATTTAGCCATATTTACTATAAAATGAATTGAGAAAATTCAATAAAACTTATTGAATTTTCTCAATTCAATCTTCAATAAAAATTTAATATTTATTTCTATATACACCAAGGCTATAAACAAATATTATCTCATGGGTTTCTGGCTCCATATTATTATCTGTATTAAATATTTATTTCAGATAGCCAATTATTTAAATTTAACATAAATGTTCATTTGTGGTAAATTTAAATGATTGGCTACATGAAATAAGCATTTAATACAGATAATACCAAGACATAATAATTAATTTTAAATTACGTTATTCATTATTATAAGTTTTTTATAATTTTTTTTTTTTTTTTTAATGTAGAGATCAATGGAAAGGATATGAAGGAAATTACCATCCTATATTCTCAGATGGTTGGGCACCTGAATATCCATTTTCAGAGGATAGAGAACGAGCTGAAATAACAGCTGCAGCTGCTGCATCTGCTGCTCAGAGATTTAGAAGAGATGAAATTCGGCAAGCTCAAGAAGAGGTAAACGTTACATTTGAAATGATTGTGTTTAAATTTTTAAACTAAGTTTTTATTTTAATTTTATTGAAATTTTATTACTTCAATTAGATAATCTCTATGTATAAAAATGAATTTATTCTTTTATTATTTTAAAGTGGTTAAAAAGTAAAATTAAATTATTAAGAATATTAAGTAATTAACTTGTCATATGACAGATATATGAGGAGGTGGATCCCACCAGTTGCACTAACACAGAAGACAATTGTTAATTATTCTTTTTGCAAGTTTACCTTTATTTGCATGATTGACCTTCTGTTGTGAAGTGTTTTATCAGAGACAGCTCTGAAGAACAAACTTGTCTCATCCATGTTGTTTATATTAGATGAGTCATAATTGCCAACAATTGTTGTGATCCAACTAGTCCAATCTGAGATGTCTTCTTGATTTGTCTTTGCTTTCATGACATGCTAAAAACATCATTGTGGTATGTTCTAAAACAATCAAGCCAGCCATTGCCATATAAATCCTAGTCCTAATTATTATTCTAAATTAAGAAAAGTAACAATTTTAGTTGTAGAAACTAAGCAAGAATAAATTTCCTTAGTTTCATTATGAGATTTATGTTAACAATAATATAATACCAAATAAATTTAATTTTTTAAAGTAGTTTTTAATAAGTTTTCTTTCCACAGGCTGAATTAAGAGAGAGAGAATATCATCGAGTCTCTTCACATGATAGAGACAGTCGATATGGTAGCGAATATTATTACAGCAGTGAGTGTGGAGAACGAGAAAGGTCAGGATCACCTGCTGTTCCTTCAGAACAGATGCCATATCATCAGGGATACGATAATCGACAATATGATTCACGTCGTATAGAAATACCAAGAAGAGATGTGTATGCTGAAAGGTGTGTATATGTAACTGTATGTACTGTCCAAACTTCTAATAATTTTAAATATCTTTTTGTGTAAGAGCTTATAAATATTGATACTAATAATAATTAATATAAAATCTCCTTAAAATTTTAACTTTATTCTTTTTAATTTGATTTAGAAAATGTTTTTAAAGAGAAGACATTCGTTGTATTTTATTTATTTATTGATCTTATAGAATCACTATCACTAATTTTCATGTTCATTTTAATCTGTCAGTATGTCTGATTTACTTAATTCATGCATTTAATGTTTTTGTTTAATTAGCCAAATGATTTTTATGGTTAGTATTGTTATTTATTTTATAAGGTGAGAATATTCAATATTTTATGCAAAGAAATTCAATCTAAATGAAACTGTCTTGAAAATTGGAATTTACAAACAATGATTATTAATTTATTAACTGTGTGAGAAGCCAGGGGTTAGAGAGTAAACCTCTAAACCCCTTTGATCAGTGTTGTATTGGTAAAACCTGCTCATGTTGTCACTGTATGGCTAGGAGGGTGATAATTGAAGTGGGGAGGTCACAGATAAGTTGATAGGGTGACTTGTTTAAACAAATGGAGTTAATGCCAGTTTAACTAGACAATAACTTTAATAGGAAAATGAAGCGCTGTACAAAAACTAGCTATGATTACAATTATATGTATAAATAAATAAAAACAAGAACTTATACTGGAATGAATAAATAATATAATTAAAATAAACCTTTAACTATCCAGCAATAAAAAAATGTTTAATAAAAACGTTTTCAACCGTTTTTAAACGGCCATCTTCAGTTGAACCAATATTAAAAAAGAACACTAAAAAATTATGCATGAAATACAAATTAAACAGAAACCGAAATGCGCATGCGTAATTCATCGGACTTGCGTCTTCTGAAAATCTATAAATAACTTGCAAATAACATAAAAATTATAAAGCCGCCAAAAAAAGAGTAGTTCTTAATTATTTTCCTTTTTTAAACAAAATGATTAGGAGAGTGGCGAACAGTAATAATCTACAAATAGTATATCGGCGTAATCCGACGATCTACAGAATGTTAAGAAACGATAAGAGAAAGGAAAAGCAAAATAATTTACCCGGAGTTTATTCTATACCTATAAAGGATCAGCGGTTCAACTCAGACCTTGTTTACGTGGGTGCTACCATGCGGCAGTTAAAACAAAGACTCAAGGAACATAAATACTCTGTGAGTAAGAACATAGATGCCACAGTGCTCACAGCATTTGCCAAACAGCAAGAGGTCGAGGTATATTGGGATCAAGCCTCGATCATTAGAGCCGCGAATTCCAGACAGGCATTGAAACACCTTGAAAAGTTAGAGATACACAAGGCACACATAAATAAGGGATGCATTAATCATAGAGATGCAGAAGGGTTATCTTATGCCTAGAAATCCTTTTACAATAATGCAGACTAACACCTTGTAATCAACGTATATTCTCCCCCCTCCCTTTTTTGGCGGCTTTATTATTTTTATGTTATTTGCAAGTTATTTATAGATTTTCAGAAGACGCAAGTCTGATGAATTACGTATGCGCATTTCGGTTTCTGTTTAATTTGTATTTCATGCGTTCTTTTTTAGTGTTCTTTTTTAATATTGGTTCAACTGAAGATGGCCATTTAAAAATGGTTGAAAACATTTTTATTAAACATTTTTTTATTGCTGGATAGTTAAAGGTTTATTTTAGTTATATTATATGTATAGCATATAGCGCACACATCTCTATATGATCTGATATCTATGGGATATATATTGCCTCTAACTTAAGATTTAAGTCAACCGAGAGAGAGAGAGTTTACAAATGGAAGTACAATTATAAGTACAATACGTTGTGAAGATAACTTGATGTTTCTGGATCCTGTTCATGTGATGTTGGAAAGACAATCATGAATCTAGTCAAGAATCGGTGGTCCTTACGTCATCAGGGAGCTGGCAGGTAGAACTTCGTCTATGCTCCTAGTATGTCTGTCCCAACAATTGAGTTAGTCCTTTTTATTCTCCCTGAGCATGGGAATCGAATCAGGTGATTTTGATTTAATGTGGTCTAAGGCGAAGATGTGTCATTCCATCGGCTGGAGTGGGCCAGATTGTTGATACTTTCATGCCAGGTGTTTTGACTCTTTTTACCATATAAGGCAACAAATTTGAAGTTCCAATTAAATTATGAGGTAAGAAAAGTCACAACACCATTGAGGTGTTGTGACTTTTCTTACCTCATAATTTAATGAATTTTGACATTTTTCCCCATTAATAACCATATGTTTAGCTTTATTCTCTACACTTGTTCAAAACATCGTTATAAATTGTCGATTTGTATGGTTATTTGATAATTTTTATCTCTTGGTCAGAGAAATAGAAAGGCCAGGTGATGGGAAAAGAAAGTGGGTTTTTCCACTTCACAATTAACTGCGTATTAATTTTTAATCCCTTAATTTAGCTAATTAACCAGTCCAGAATCTCACAATTGCATTATTTGAATTTCTTAAGTAATATATTTATTAAGTTTAGTTGGATATTTACTATAAATTCTTACTATGTCAAAGTTGTTTGTAGAATTTAAAATTTGTAGGTTTATTATTAAAGCATCCATTTAATATATATTCATAATTAACACAGGGGAGCGTCACCATCTCCTCTTTTAGGAAGAGAATATCATGATAGAGATGCTCGCTCAGAATTAAGTGCTGATTCTGACCAAGTTCCATCACATCTTGATCCATACCGGCAATATGATAGACATCAGCAGTGGTTAGATGACTTAAGAATGCAAGGAGCAAAGATTGTGCAAGTAATGTATCCAAGAACAGCTAATAATGATAAAGAATTAACAATTGTTAGAGGAGAATGCTTGGAGGTAAATGCAATCAATATTTTAAAATAGCATAATGAATTTTTTATTAATTTTAGTAGACTTTTAGTTTGTAAAAATATACTGTTTAAATATTTCCAAATATTTATTTCATAAAATGAAAATATTGTTTTTATATAGAAGAAATTTATAGAAGAATGTTTCACATTTGTACATTTGCTAAATGGAAACATTCTAAGTTTTTGTTATACAAAGGAAATTTTTCAAACATCTTAAATTAATTTTAATACTTTAATTCTTTTTATTTCAAAGATTAAATTATTAAATTAAATTATGTTAAGATTAAAATTATGTAATGGTTTAAAAATAGTGTTTTTGATAAATTCAAATACAGTAATACCCCGAACTTATGCGATAGGTGGGACCGAGTGGTAACCGCGTAAGTCGGGGTATAATTTTGCATATAAATACATACAAATAATTTTTAATTTGGACCAGAGACTAAAGAAAACAATAATTTAGAAAAAAATGTTTAATAAAATCTTAGATAATACATATGTATAACAAATTAGGCCTATATTATTTTACAATTTTTCACATTTACTTGATTATTACGCCATAATTTTAACATTGTTTCCATCTCAGCGATAATACCGTGACGTTTANTCCTCAAAAATGTGAACTGCCCAATTATATACAACCTTATTAAAAGTAACATTACAGATAATTCAATGTGCCTTGTTTTTCAGTAATAAATTTTAAATTCAAAATTTAATGCATTTTAATATGATATTTTACAATTTACACAAAAAAGATATCGCAGGTATCCGGGAAGATCGGATCTTTAAGGAATAAGTTCATCCCGAAAATTTAGATATAAATGTCGTCAAATCATACACATATAACACAGAATTCATATCTTTGTTACAAAAAAAATATTATATGTTAATTATAGTCTGATATATTCGAGAATAATACTAAAATTGCGTATTAACACAAGAAACCAAAAGATCAATTTGTATCATTAAAATTCATATAAAATTCATATAAAGCAATGTTTCTTAACAGTTGTAGTAATATACACAATTGTGAATTTCAAAACACTGCTACACTCCCTCTTGAAAATTGTGTTCAAGATAGAAAAGGTACTGTGCAGAGAGTAGTAGGGAGGGTGCCGACATAATCGTAGAGTTTCCAGTTTATCGCTGGCACTGACAGTATGCAATTAGTCGAGTGAAAATTCTATAGGTTAAGACAGCTTTAAAATTTTATACAGTAGAGCGTCGTTTATCCGAATCAATTGGGGACTGGGGTGGTTCGGATAACCAATTATGTACGAAAAAATATATTAATTTATCCCGTGTTGAAATTTTTCTCCGTTGCGTGTCGCTTCGCGTTGAATTTTCGTCGATGTTAAGCCTAACGGTTATATAAATTTATGAATTATTTTCTGTATATGTTATATGAGGAGTGTCAAAAAGTTTGTTGTATTGGACAGAAAGAAAGAAATTATTGAATTATTGCTAACAGGTTATACCACAAATTTGCCTGTTTCTTTAAGACTATTCATGTCAGTTGTGTGGCTCAGTTTCTTATTAAAGTTTCCAGAGAAATTACAAGTAAACTAAATGTCATAATTGAGAAGTTTGAAAGAACATGCTGTTATCAAATTCATACAGGAGAAAAATGCTATTGCCATCCATGCTGATATGTCTGCAGTCCCAAGGAAACAAATGTCCAACATATATGGGGAAAAAGTGGAAAAGTTATTTTTGAAACTGGTCATTACACCAGAAAGACAGACGTGGAAAAGGCACATCATTGTTGTCAGTGAATCTCTCCAGTTATTCCTCCACTGAAAAAATCACTTCTCTATCACTGTTGAATTATTGTTCAATGGGTCTTTGCATGACAGAAAAGGGAAAAGTCACTTGGGGCAAAATCAGGCAAATATAGTGGTTGCAGCAGAATTTTGCATCTACATTTGACAATAACTTTGGGATTCACAAGTGCTGCATGTGCAGGTACTGTACATTGTAAGGAAAAGCCAGGCATTTTTGCTGAAAATTACATATATTTTTGTTTTACTTTGTCTTGAAACTTCACCAGGAAATTGAATAATAGTTTCTAGTGATGATCTGTCCTTGGTAAGTAATGAGTCATGACAACCCATCTTGGCAGTCCTAAAAAATGGAGATCATCTCCTTCCCAGCCAAAAGTTGTGCCTTGTTTTTCTTTGGTAATGGTGAATCTATGTTTCCAGTGTTTTCTCTCATTTGATCTCTTGGTCATAGTGATAGACTCAACAATCATCCATGTTGATCAAACTGCAAATCATCATCATTTTTTGGAGCACAGCTGCAACATCTGAGAGGTAGTTCTATCTTGTTTTGAAAGGGTATAAGTAACTGAGAACCCATCTTATTTACTATTTATTTATTTATTACATCATAAATAGGCAATACCAGTTGGCTATTGATCTTCATCCCCTGTTTAACAAAACCCTGACAACAGTAAAAAGAAATAAAAAAACATGTAAAAACTTAACATTTTTTTTAAAAGAGGATACATATAATTGTATAAAAACAATACAGCTAAGAAGATACAAAAAATGCATAAAAACACTATATGCAAAAAAATGGCACAAAAACACATGCATACACTATGAACATGTTAAAAGACAAAAAACTGACAAATATAAAAATATGAGCATATAAATAAATACACACAAAACAAATCATTTTGATTTAAAGGGTTAAAATTGTCATGAATTGAGTAAAAGGCATTTACACAATAATATGTATCTAGGGAATGTTACATGAAAGTTGATTTTCTATTGGAATGACAGCTTGTACCAAGTGTAGCAAATATGAGAGAAATGCATAATATGCACAGTGAAATGACCAGGAAGTTTCACCAAGGTAGAATTATTCTGTCTAATATGATGAACTTGTTGCCTACTCCTTTGTATAATAATAATTTGGAAATTACATTGCCATGTTATTGAACAAATAAAATTATACAAAATTAATTATTTTGAAGCACAAATATTTATACAGGTTTTCCATAATTTTTCCACCATCTGAAGCTTCTTGTAAAACAAGTAGACAAGAAACTTAAAATTCTCTTGATACAGTAGCTAGACTTGTTCATTGAATGGACAAAAATGGTAGTACAGTAGAGCCTCGATTATCCGACCTCCGATTAACTGACCGTCCTAGTCGGCAAATTTCAAATGTCCGCTAGTGATGTGGCACTACAATATTTGGCTATGTCTTGGCTACTTTAATATTATTTTTACGTGCTTTAGCTGGCAACACTCATTCAACCATGAAAGGGAGCCAGTATTTAAACGAGGCTTAATTTTCTAATTTAATACAATAGCGACGATTATTATTTAAAAAAATTTTTGTTAGGCTTAACATCGATGAAAATTCAACGCAAAGTAGGTTAATAGTGATATACTAATTACATGGGATATAATAATATACTACACTAATAATGGATTTTTTCATACTTTTCGGTTATCCGACTTTTCAATTATTCGACCAACCCCAGTCCCCAATTAAGTCAGATAATCGAGGCTCTACTGTACAATATATTTACTTAGATTCTCTACACTGCAGTTGTATGTATGTAGTATCTATTATGTACAAGTTGTTTAGATCATTTTATTTACATTTGATTCTAGTTATGGCTTCATCTTTAAAAAAAATGTAAGAATCAGGTGTATCAAGCATAAACAGCAATCACATTTCTAGAAATTCAAATTAAGTACATATTAAGTTGTTGTACTTTAGTAACATGCAATACATGTAAGGAATGGTCCAGGATATACTGTTGAGTAATTTCTATGTATTTTCAGTTTGTCTGACAAAACTATTAATTTAGGAAGACCTTGAAATTAAGTGTTTCAGAAAATTAGTGGTTGATGTTTTATTATTATTTATTCTTAATAAATATAAAATAATAGTTAAATATACGTTTCAGGTTTTAGATGACAGTAGAAAATGGTGGAAAGCAAGAAATATTCGTGGACAGATTGGTCATGTTCCTCATACAATAGTAACACCATATACAGGAGGTGTTGTTGAAGATGATGTTTTTAATAATCCATTATATGCAACTAGAGGAGGAAGAGATTATTACAGTCCTGTAAGTATTATAAAAATATGAATAGAAAACAGTATAAATTAGTCACATTTTCTCATTAATATATTATTATATTATATATTAGACATGTATTAAAATGCATAATTATTTAGCGAATGATCTCTATCAATGTTTTTATCATCAAAATCTGAAATAATAATAATAAAACAAAAAAAAATGAAATTTCTAAATTGTCTTAAATTTAAAAGGAATAAAATTTGTTCAATTTGATACATAGATGACTGTTCTGCCAAAAATATGGATGTGAATTTCTATGTAATAATATTTCTAATTTGTTTCAATCTCTGTAATTCATAAAGAAAATAAACTCTGTGAATAAGAAATTTAAATTTTTTGAATAAATAAGAAAGTAGACTTTCCTCATTTTTAATTACAGTAGAGCATCGATTATCCGAATCAATTGGGGACTGGGGTTGTTCGGAAAATTGATATTTTGGATAATTGATTATGTACGAAAAAATATATTAACCTATCCCATGTTGAAATTTTTCTCCGTTGCATGTCGCTTCGCGTATAATTTTCGCCGATGTTAAGCCTAACGTAAACTTTTTAAAATAATAATCGTGACTATTGTATCGTTAAAAATTATTTCTTTATATTTACAAACAAAATAAATATATTGAAAAATATAAAAACAATAAAAAATTATACTTCAGATGTTAATTTAGTATCAAAAACGTAAAATATTTGAGTAGCCCAAGACATAGCCAAAGATTGNCCGACTGGAATTATTTCGGATAATTGACTTTCGGATAATCGACGCTCTGCTCTATTGCTATTTATCATATTGATCTTGCCATCAGATGACAACTCATATTACATTTCATCTAAGTAGTAATGATTTATATATTGATTTTTTGCCTTTGCAACTGATTTATTTAAATAGAACTTTGCAAAGTATTTGCATTCATTTCATGTTTTATTTTGTCTAATTATGAATTTTTTTTTTAGGTATTTAAAAATACAAATGTTTGTCAAAAATAAATAAATTCAATTAGTTTAACATTACAAAATATTATTAACCCATTAATGATTTAGGCATTAAAAATTTTAAAATATGTTTAATATTACATCTATGAAAATGAATAAGTTGAATCATTTTTTAAAATTAATTCGTTGCTTACATGAATTTTACATATTAAATGATCTACTTTGTTGAATGTTTAGCAATTGACTAAAAATCTAAACATTTAAATTAAGTTAAATTACTGACAAATGTTTTCGTGAAATTTAATTTGAAAATGTTTTTTAAAAAAATGTAAAAAAAAAAAAGTTATCACATATCCTTGTCTATCTAAAGTTTTCTTTAGAGTGTCATGTTCAATTAAAAAATTCATAAAATTAGATAAGGACAATATCAATATATACAATTTTTCTTATCTTTTCATTTATAAAAATAATATATTTAAATTTATAAACATTGAAAGAATAATGACAGGTGAGTAAATCTTAGGATGAAATCTGAGATTTATTCACCTGTTGATCTCAGAATGAAACTGAAATGAATATATGAAAATAAAAATATCTGTATTAAATGATGCATGTAATTTTTAAAAATTTAATTCAAAAATAGTTTTATTTTGCTAACAAGTAGTTAAACTGATCACAAAAAGCAGTATATTAATTTAGGTTAAAATAATTTTTTTTAGTAAAATTATAATCATAAATTTGTTTACAAGGGTTGTACTACAAAAATCAAAAGGATACATAATATGTCTAGTACTAACAATTATGTTACTCTGCAACATGGAATGAGATCACTTTTAACAGTTGACATGTCATTTCAACATTAGGGAGGAAATTTATTCAGTTGATATTCACCAAAGACTAAAAGATGGGTAGAGAAGTTTACATGAGTATTCATTGCCAGACAATCAGTGAATTAAAGATGGTCAGATATTATAGATCAGTTCTGTAATAGTTACCTGCAGACTGCCTCTAATGAAATCAACAAAGACCAGCTTGATAATCTTATAAGAGGGAATCAAGATGTTGCAATTTCTCTAATTGTCATATTTTGGAATTTAACTCTGTAATGTAAGAGATGGAGTTTGAGATGCTAGCAATAATCAAAGAGCCCAATAGGAGCAATGTGAAAAGAAATTAAAACTCAGTTTTCTCATAGTCTGGGCTTGGTCTTATAAGATCAGATAGATTTGGAGGGCAAATATCATTATTCATTATTATTATTAATTAAATAGTAATTTCAAACAAAAGGAAAAAACATATTCTTAATTATTTTAGTCTTAATATATAAACTTATTTATTCTAGAGTGGTTCTCCAGTTGGAAGAGAGTGCCTTGTTTCTGGACCTGCTCCACGAGAACATTTTCCAAATCAGTCACCTAATCAGATGCCTCCATCAGGAACTGGTGATTGGGTTCGTAGAGAACGGCAAGGGAAGAAAGGTGAATTTCGGTACTTCTGATGCACCATGTTAACCCATCAATCATAGCCCAGACAATCTTTTTTGTCCCATTTGTGTGTGCTTGTGTATGTGTGTGTAAAAAGTTTTGTCTATTGTTTTGTGCTGAACTGTCAATTTTAGTTTTTTTATCTTTTTGTTTTTGTCATGATGTAGTGCAGCTTTTTCTCTGTGCCATGCGTATAACTATTAGTAGTATATGTACAAAATTTTAAAATTTTGTTAAGTAATTTTATTTTGCTCAAAGTTTTTTTTTTGAAAATCAATGTCAAGTATTTTAATTAAAATATGAAACATTGCATCTCAAAATTATTCTAAACAGATTTTATTTCATTGTCAATCTACAAGTATCAAATTTAAAATAATAAATGTTAAAGCACTATTATAATTGTTAGTTGGTTTAATTTTAAATTTAGCAGATGCGAATTAACAATATATTTAAACTATTAAGAATATTTAATTCAACTTAATATTTAGTTTAAGTAGAACCAAATTTAGATTAAAACTTTCATAATCTCCTAATCAAAATATTATTGTAATTTTTAATAAAAATGTTTAAATAATTTATATTTAAAATGAACACTTTTATGAACAGAAAAGGTTGTAAGTGGTATTTGCAATATTTATGTATTTTATGTTGAATTAATAAATTAGATCTTTGTAAATTTTTTGTTTTAGTATTAAATTTTTTTTACTTTTATTTTTAATTGAATTTTTTTTTAATGAAAAATTGGAGAAAACAAATTTTTAAATTCCAAAATTAAAATATTTTTAAATAAACTTTTTTTTCTTAACAATTATTATTGCATTAATTTTATTTAAAAGAATGTTTCTAATATAAATTATCTTTCCTATAAAATCTTGATTTGCATTTTACATTTGCATTCAATCCTAGAAATTAAACATTATGAAACTTGTATCAATTAATTTCTAACTTGTTTAAAGAATTCAGAAATTATATTACAGGAGATTTAAAATTGGTTTTTGAGTAACATATTTGCTTAATAGTTACTGACTTTTAATATAAAAATTAAGTATGAATAACAAATTTTTGATAGAATATTTTTTTTTTAGTAGTAATAATATGCAAAACAGAGTAGTTAGATTTTAAGGTTGATGATTATTCTAAATCTAACATTTATCTGAATTTGTTTTATTCTGTAATAATTTATTCTGTATATGGAAATTGTTCCTGTGTCAAAATGTGATATTTTTTCAATTTAACTAAAATTGGATTTTTTTTTATGTAAGATTNTTTTATCTTTTTGTTTTTGTCATGATGTAGTGCAGCTTTTTCTCTGTGCCATGCGTATAACTATTAGTAGTATATGTACAAAATTTTAAAATTTTGTTAAGTAATTTTATTTTGCTCAAAGTTTTTTTTTGAAAATCAATGTCAAGTATTTTAATTAAAATATGAAACATTGCATCTCAAAATTATTCTAAACAGATTTTATTTCATTGTCAATCTACAAGTATCAAATTTAAAATAATAAATGTTAAAGCACTATTATAATTGTTAGTTGGTTTAATTTTAAATTTAGCAGATGCGAATTAACAATATATTTAAACTATTAAGAATATTTAATTCAACTTAATATTTAGTTTAAGTAGAACCAAATTTAGATTAAAACTTTCATAATCTCCTAATCAAAATATTATTGTAATTTTTAATAAAAATGTTTAAATAATTTATATTTAAAATGAACACTTTTATGAACAGAAAAGGTTGTAAGTGGTATTTGCAATATTTATGTATTTTATGTTGAATTAATAAATTAGATCTTTGTAAATTTTTTGTTTTAGTATTAAATTTTTTTTACTTTTATTTTTAATTGAATTTTTTTTTAATGAAAAATTGGAGAAAACAAATTTTTAAATTCCAAAATTAAAATATTTTTAAATAAACTTTTTTTTCTTAACAATTATTATTGCATTAATTTTATTTAAAAGAATGTTTCTAATATAAATTATCTTTCCTATAAAATCTTGATTTGCATTTTACATTTGCATTCAATCCTAGAAATTAAACATTATGAAACTTGTATCAATTAATTTCTAACTTGTTTAAAGAATTCAGAAATTATATTACAGGAGATTTAAAATTGGTTTTTGAGTAACATATTTGCTTAATAGTTACTGACTTTTAATATAAAAATTAAGTATGAATAACAAATTTTTGATAGAATATTTTTTTTTTAGTAGTAATAATATGCAAAACAGAGTAGTTAGATTTTAAGGTTGATGATTATTCTAAATCTAACATTTATCTGAATTTGTTTTATTCTGTAATAATTTATTCTGTATATGGAAATTGTTCCTGTGTCAAAATGTGATATTTTTTCAATTTAACTAAAATTGGATTTTTTTTTATGTAAGATTNTTTTTTCTTATGTAATCATTGTCATAACAAAAATGGGTTTCATTGGAAATAACACTTACTTTATACATATAATAAAATTTTTTTATTTATTAATAGTGTTTTTTTTAATAACAGAATCACCAAGTGTATCCAGCAGTTTAGAGGAAGCAGCTGTTTCAGGTAAATTTATGTGTTATGTTATTTCTATATTTATTTAACCAATTTTTGTAAGTTAAAATTCTTATTTTTAATATTTACTCTAATTTATATGTTAATAATAATTAATGTTTACAAATTTGGATATAGTTATATTTTAAAAATTTTTTAATTGATTATAATTAATTTACTTATACAACTTAATATTTTTAACCAATTTTTGTTGATCTTTATACTCAAATTTTTGTTATTGTTTTGACTCTTTATAATTTCAAAACTTTCCTTAAATTATCTGTTATACCAATTCTTTTCTTGTGTAAAATTTTTACTTTTTCTTTGTCAATACTACAGTTATTCATTGTACAGTGGTCATAAAAAACAGAGTTCACTCTTCTGTATTTCAAGTCAACAACATGTTCTTTTAATCTTACATCCACTTTCCTTTTAGTTTCTCTTATGTAATATTTTGAGTTTTCACAAGTACAGTACATGGTATATAGTAAACTGCATTTGTTGTGTTGTATAAATTTTCTATTTTACTTTCTTCAAATTTGCTTATTTGTATTCTCTTTTCCAGTTTTTCATAAGTTGGTGCTAATTTTATATTCACTTTATTAATTAAAATTTCTATTTATTTCTTCAAAAAATCCTTTAATATAAGGGAAGGCTATATATATTATATTAACCTCGTTATTTCATTTTTGTTCTCTATTATTAATTTTTCTTTCCCATTTTTGAATGTTACATGATGTAAATCATTAAGTAGTAGATTGTGCATTAGTTAAACCATATTTGATGTTTTTGTGACAAAACACATTTTGAATTACCAGAATTATCATTCATGTGCTTAAGTAAAATGAATCTTAATTGGTTAAATTTAGACCTTTTTTTCATTCTTTATTGTGAATATGAATATTAATTGATATTCAAAATGTTTAAGAAAATATATCTATTATACAAAAATAGAAATAATAATTAAGTTATATGCTGTGTTAATTTTAATATTTAGCTAGATCTGCATCACCAGCAGAAGGAAGAACAAAAACTTCAAATGGACCAGCATCTCCTAAAATTACTGCTGTTCAGTGCCCTCCACCTCCTCCACCACCTCTTCCAACAGAGAAAAGTAAGATTTTTTCACTTATAATAAATGATGATAAAAGTTTATTCTTAGTTATTGCATATTTAACTTATTCAATATTTAATACATAGAGGTAAAATTAACAGAATTATTGTACAAGTATTAAAACAGAACAATAAACAAATGGCATAGTAAATAACTTATTAATTAGTAGTTCAATTTAGTTTATTTAAGCAGATCATTATAGGCAATCCCACTGGACTAATGAGAATTACTGTACATTTAATATGTTTATTTCAGTCTTATTTCTGACCTAAATGAATAATTTACTTAAGCAAATTTAATTGAACTATAAATTAATAAGTTTGGTTAGTTAATAAAAGATAGTTCATCTTAATGAATATTATGCAATTTTGTCCTCAAAGACGTATTTCTCATAACATAGCCTTGTCATTAAGCAACACATACCTGTATAATTTTGATGTACTAAATTGATTAAATTTAATTTGCTCCAGAATTGACTAAAAAAAATCAAAACTTTATTAATCTAAATTACCAGTATTGAAATTTAATAAGATAGGAAAAAATTTGCTATAAAAATCCATTTTATATTTATATTTGAATAATTTTTTTAGTTTTATATATTTAAGTGTGGAACAAGAAAACTTTAAGAGAAAAGTAGTTTTTAATGGTTTTATATTGCACTGTCATTTTATAAACTTTTATATTTCACTCTTTACATATAGAAAGAGAATAATATAAATATACAATATAAAAAGAATTCAAATTAGAATATCATCTAATGCTTTCATTTTGGTAAATGTATAGACATTTAGAAAGCTTCAGTTTTAAAATGGTTATACGAATCTATAAACTTTGATTCATTTAATTTAAAATTTCTGTATTATATGGGAAAATTTTATATTTTTCTCAACTTGCGATACCCTTTTTTTATTCAAGCATACAGCTTTGAAGTAGATAGTGTGAATACAAGTAAAAAAAACATAATATGAATTTGTAAATATTTAAACAATATATATGAGAGTTAATTATACACCAACTGTTGCATCAAATATATTGAATGCTAAATCTGCTATCTGTAAGCAAGGTAAGGTGAGTTGTACTTTTTTATTTGGTGGAAGCTGCTTCCTGTTTTAATGGTCAACTTTGTATCTGTTTTTTTCTTATGTAATCATTGTCATAACAAAAATGGGTTTCATTGGAAATAACACTTACTTTATACATATAATAAAATTTTTTTATTTATTAATAGTGTTTTTTTTAATAACAGAATCACCAAGTGTATCCAGCAGTTTAGAGGAAGCAGCTGTTTCAGGTAAATTTATGTGTTATGTTATTTCTATATTTATTTAACCAATTTTTGTAAGTTAAAATTCTTATTTTTAATATTTACTCTAATTTATATGTTAATAATAATTAATGTTTACAAATTTGGATATAGTTATATTTTAAAAATTTTTTAATTGATTATAATTAATTTACTTATACAACTTAATATTTTTAACCAATTTTTGTTGATCTTTATACTCAAATTTTTGTTATTGTTTTGACTCTTTATAATTTCAAAACTTTCCTTAAATTATCTGTTATACCAATTCTTTTCTTGTGTAAAATTTTTACTTTTTCTTTGTCAATACTACAGTTATTCATTGTACAGTGGTCATAAAAAACAGAGTTCACTCTTCTGTATTTCAAGTCAACAACATGTTCTTTTAATCTTACATCCACTTTCCTTTTAGTTTCTCTTATGTAATATTTTGAGTTTTCACAAGTACAGTACATGGTATATAGTAAACTGCATTTGTTGTGTTGTATAAATTTTCTATTTTACTTTCTTCAAATTTGCTTATTTGTATTCTCTTTTCCAGTTTTTCATAAGTTGGTGCTAATTTTATATTCACTTTATTAATTAAAATTTCTATTTATTTCTTCAAAAAATCCTTTAATATAAGGGAAGGCTATATATATTATATTAACCTCGTTATTTCATTTTTGTTCTCTATTATTAATTTTTCTTTCCCATTTTTGAATGTTACATGATGTAAATCATTAAGTAGTAGATTGTGCATTAGTTAAACCATATTTGATGTTTTTGTGACAAAACACATTTTGAATTACCAGAATTATCATTCATGTGCTTAAGTAAAATGAATCTTAATTGGTTAAATTTAGACCTTTTTTTCATTCTTTATTGTGAATATGAATATTAATTGATATTCAAAATGTTTAAGAAAATATATCTATTATACAAAAATAGAAATAATAATTAAGTTATATGCTGTGTTAATTTTAATATTTAGCTAGATCTGCATCACCAGCAGAAGGAAGAACAAAAACTTCAAATGGACCAGCATCTCCTAAAATTACTGCTGTTCAGTGCCCTCCACCTCCTCCACCACCTCTTCCAACAGAGAAAAGTAAGATTTTTTCACTTATAATAAATGATGATAAAAGTTTATTCTTAGTTATTGCATATTTAACTTATTCAATATTTAATACATAGAGGTAAAATTAACAGAATTATTGTACAAGTATTAAAACAGAACAATAAACAAATGGCATAGTAAATAACTTATTAATTAGTAGTTCAATTTAGTTTATTTAAGCAGATCATTATAGGCAATCCCACTGGACTAATGAGAATTACTGTACATTTAATATGTTTATTTCAGTCTTATTTCTGACCTAAATGAATAATTTACTTAAGCAAATTTAATTGAACTATAAATTAATAAGTTTGGTTAGTTAATAAAAGATAGTTCATCTTAATGAGTATTATGCANTTAAATTCCTAATTTAATATAATTGATAATTCTTAAGTTTACTTTTACAAAAGAAACATAAAGAGAAACTACTATTACATAACAATGTTCTAACACTAGTATGTTCTAATGGAGGGATATGCATTCTAGTGTGATTATTTTATCATATTAAAATGTGTGAATGCAAAATAGCAATAGACATTATTTAAAATTTTATATGAAAACAAACCGCATTCAAAATAATTAACATAGGTTAATATATATATATATTAACCTATGGTATTTAAAAGTTAGTCTTATAATGTATGTTGCATATTAAATGTTATATATAGTTTATCAGAAATAATTTAAAATAGCAGACATATGCTTGCATTAATTAAAAAATAATAATTTTAAATTTATTATTACACAGTACATTTCTTTTCACTGAAATTATTCTATACTGATAAAATTGCAATAATTTCTAAATTTTTTGATATTTGAGCTTGATAATTATTATTGCACATTTTCCAATCAGTTTTCAATATACATTTTGTGTATTGTTATTTTTTCAATGAATTTTTCTTAATACATTTGAATTTTTGTATCCTTTTTTATTATAAATAATTTCCTTTTCTTTTCGGCAAAATTAGTTATAATAATCAAATTTGATCTACAATAGAAAATCTAAACTGACACAATTTTTAATTACAAAATATAACTGTTCATAGTTAAGTTCACACTATTAACGAATGTCTGTAAGAGAAACATTAAACGAACAAATTAAATTTTAACTAAGTTTTTATTTATTTATTTATTTTGAAACTTGATTATTATAAACTTTACTCAGTTTAATGCATATTTAAGTGTGGAACAAGAAAACTTTAAGAGAAAAGTAGTTTTTAATGGTTTTATATTGCACTGTCATTTTATAAACTTTTATATTTCACTCTTTACATATAGAAAGAGAATAATATAAATATACAATATAAAAAGAATTCAAATTAGAATATCATCTAATGCTTTCATTTTGGTAAATGTATAGACATTTAGAAAGCTTCAGTTTTAAAATGGTTATACGAATCTATAAACTTTGATTCATTTAATTTAAAATTTCTGTATTATATGGGAAAATTTTATATTTTTCTCAACTTGCGATACCCTTTTTTTATTCAAGCATACAGCTTTGAAGTAGATAGTGTGAATACAAGTAAAAAAAACATAATATGAATTTGTAAATATTTAAACAATATATATGAGAGTTAATTATACACCAACTGTTGCATCAAATATATTGAATGCTAAATCTGCTATCTGTAAGCAAGGTAAGGTGAGTTGTACTTTTTTATTTGGTGGAAGCTGCTTCCTGTTTTAATGGTCAACTTTGTATCTGTTTTTTTCTTATGTAATCATTGTCATAACAAAAATGGGTTTCATTGGAAATAACACTTACTTTATACATATAATAAAATTTTTTTATTTATTAATAGTGTTTTTTTTAATAACAGAATCACCAAGTGTATCCAGCAGTTTAGAGGAAGCAGCTGTTTCAGGTAAATTTATGTGTTATGTTATTTCTATATTTATTTAACCAATTTTTGTAAGTTAAAATTCTTATTTTTAATATTTACTCTAATTTATATGTTAATAATAATTAATGTTTACAAATTTGGATATAGTTATATTTTAAAAATTTTTTAATTGATTATAATTAATTTACTTATACAACTTAATATTTTTAACCAATTTTTGTTGATCTTTATACTCAAATTTTTGTTATTGTTTTGACTCTTTATAATTTCAAAACTTTCCTTAAATTATCTGTTATACCAATTCTTTTCTTGTGTAAAATTTTTACTTTTTCTTTGTCAATACTACAGTTATTCATTGTACAGTGGTCATAAAAAACAGAGTTCACTCTTCTGTATTTCAAGTCAACAACATGTTCTTTTAATCTTACATCCACTTTCCTTTTAGTTTCTCTTATGTAATATTTTGAGTTTTCACAAGTACAGTACATGGTATATAGTAAACTGCATTTGTTGTGTTGTATAAATTTTCTATTTTACTTTCTTCAAATTTGCTTATTTGTATTCTCTTTTCCAGTTTTTCATAAGTTGGTGCTAATTTTATATTCACTTTATTAATTAAAATTTCTATTTATTTCTTCAAAAAATCCTTTAATATAAGGGAAGGCTATATATATTATATTAACCTCGTTATTTCATTTTTGTTCTCTATTATTAATTTTTCTTTCCCATTTTTGAATGTTACATGATGTAAATCATTAAGTAGTAGATTGTGCATTAGTTAAACCATATTTGATGTTTTTGTGACAAAACACATTTTGAATTACCAGAATTATCATTCATGTGCTTAAGTAAAATGAATCTTAATTGGTTAAATTTAGACCTTTTTTTCATTCTTTATTGTGAATATGAATATTAATTGATATTCAAAATGTTTAAGAAAATATATCTATTATACAAAAATAGAAATAATAATTAAGTTATATGCTGTGTTAATTTTAATATTTAGCTAGATCTGCATCACCAGCAGAAGGAAGAACAAAAACTTCAAATGGACCAGCATCTCCTAAAATTACTGCTGTTCAGTGCCCTCCACCTCCTCCACCACCTCTTCCAACAGAGAAAAGTAAGATTTTTTCACTTATAATAAATGATGATAAAAGTTTATTCTTAGTTATTGCATATTTAACTTATTCAATATTTAATACATAGAGGTAAAATTAACAGAATTATTGTACAAGTATTAAAACAGAACAATAAACAAATGGCATAGTAAATAACTTATTAATTAGTAGTTCAATTTAGTTTATTTAAGCAGATCATTATAGGCAATCCCACTGGACTAATGAGAATTACTGTACATTTAATATGTTTATTTCAGTCTTATTTCTGACCTAAATGAATAATTTACTTAAGCAAATTTAATTGAACTATAAATTAATAAGTTTGGTTAGTTAATAAAAGATAGTTCATCTTAATGAATATTATGCAATTTTGTCCTCAAAGACGTATTTCTCATAACATAGCCTTGTCATTAAGCAACACATACCTGTATAATTTTGATGTACTAAATTGATTAAATTTAATTTGCTCCAGAATTGACTAAAAAAAATCAAAACTTTATTAATCTAAATTACCAGTATTGAAATTTAATAAGATAGGAAAAAATTTGCTATAAAAATCCATTTTATATTTATATTTGAATAATTTTTTTAGTTTTATATATTATAAAAATAAGCAATGATATTTCAACATAATGTAAAAATATATTAAATAGTTTGAATCAGAAATTTAAATGTTTCTTTACTGAAAAAGAAAGTAAAATTTTATGAATTTAAATTTATTAATTTATTTCAAGTTAATAATTTTTATGTACTAATTTAAAATTTTAATGACAGTAAGATGTTTTGTTTTGAGAAATGTGTTTTAATATATTAAGAAGAAAAATTTTTCAATGTAACATAAAATTTCATTCTAAATTTAATTATTCAATATTAGCTCCACCACCAAAACCAGCTAAACCTCAAAAACAACCTAAAGATGCTCAAAATATGCTTCAGGAAGAACTTAAAGAAAGAATGACATTAGGACCTAAATCACATAAGAAGTTGGCTAGTATCCAACAACTAAAGCATATGCATTGTATTTACATAACACCTGAAAGCTCTCCTTTAGAAGTTCAAAGTTGGTTAGAAGTGAAAGGATTTTCACCAAGGTAAATATTTCGAAAATTATTTTATTTATTATTTTTTACTTATTTATAAATTTACATATATCTATGAAAAATTGAGAAAAATGATCAGAAATAATTTACAAATTAAAGAAAGAGAAAATTATTTTGATTGGGAAAATGTAAAAGTGTTTAGTCCGGTTTTGTTATGTTTAAAATTATATNAATTCCACAGAAATTTTGATGTTTTGAAACCATTGAAGACATTGAAATAAATTTGATGATAGAATTAGGAGCTATTTCAGAAGAATGAAGTGCAATCAAAAAGATCTTTAATATATTAAGAAGAAAAATTTTTCAATGTAACATAAAATTTCATTCTAAATTTAATTATTCAATATTAGCTCCACCACCAAAACCAGCTAAACCTCAAAAACAACCTAAAGATGCTCAAAATATGCTTCAGGAAGAACTTAAAGAAAGAATGACATTAGGACCTAAATCACATAAGAAGTTGGCTAGTATCCAACAACTAAAGCATATGCATTGTATTTACATAACACCTGAAAGCTCTCCTTTAGAAGTTCAAAGTTGGTTAGAAGTGAAAGGATTTTCACCAAGGTAAATATTTCGAAAATTATTTTATTTATTATTTTTTACTTATTTATAAATTTACATATATCTATGAAAAATTGAGAAAAATGATCAGAAATAATTTACAAATTAAAGAAAGAGAAAATTATTTTGATTGGGAAAATGTAAAAGTGTTTAGTCCGGTTTTGTTATGTTTTAAATTATATTTTAATATTTTCAAAAACGTTTTCTAAGTCATGAATTATAAAAAAAAAAATGTTTTATTATTTTGCAACACTATATGATCTTATACAGCAGCAAAAAGTATTGTAACTTTGTAATCTTGATCCTAAATCTGAACTACTGTTGAGAATGTAGAGGATTATTACTTGAAATATACAAATATTTTTGTTAAAAATCTAGTTTATTGAAAGTTGCTTCAGACCTTTGCTAATCAAAACTCATTTTTACATAACTTTGTTAACAACTAATTACTTGTTCAGTTACTGTTGTATATGTTTTATATTTATCCCAGTTTGTCAAATTTTTTGAATCTAGAAAAAACTGAATCAAGTATGAGCCAACCAATCTGGTCTATAAAAATAATCTTCATAAACAAGTAATCACATAATCTTAGAATGTGATGTAGAAAATCTAGTGAGAAATTTTCCATTACCTGTTTTATAGAAAAAATAAAGCAGGTATGTTAATATTCAGTATGGATGATGATAACTTGTATTATTCCATCTTGTAACATACAGTCGACCCCCCCATAACACTGTTGACAATTCCATTTTATATGAATTCCATGTTGTACAAGTCACTTAGATTTTACAAATACGTGAGCCATTCACAGCCCAGCACAATAAGTATTCATATAAAATGGAATTATCAACAGTGTTATAGGGGGTGACTGTACTTATTTGAACTTGCAAGGACTAAAATATCATTTCTTGCTGAATACCAATCCCTGAGACTTGCAACGCTGTTTGATTATAATTTTACTTACTACTGTTTTATCATCCAGTTTTCCTTAAATAAACAGAAATTGTTAGTACGATTAAATTTTTATATAGTATTTTTAATAATTTTTTATACTGGAAATGATGGATTTTTTTCCTATAATTTTAGAACATCTTGAATTCATAAAGATTGAAATTTTCTATTTTGTCTTAATCATCATGTTTATATGCTGTTGATCTTTGAGTTTAATGCATAAATTGTAAAATTATCCAATTTGCTACTGTTGTCTGCATTACGTTTTTTAGGAACTGCTAATCAACAATGTGCTCTGTGATTATGCTTTTATCAGTTAGTGTAATATGTTTTATGATGTTTGTCTGTGAAAATTGCTTTATTCAAATATATCCTATGTGTATTTCTTTAACTATATTTTAAATAAACATATCTTATATGATGATCATGTTTTTAATAAGACTTTGATTTTACAAATGAATGTTTTAAGAATGTTCTTTACTATATATTCCGTCTGATAAACTTGAATAATTAGTGTGAAATTGTTTACATTTTTTATAATATTATCTTTTCTAAATTTTTTAATAAGTTTTACCTATGATTTGAGTTATGTTCTATTCAATAAAATGAGTTAAAAATATAATATTTGCTTAGTTACAATGAATACTGTTGGGTACATTTGAAATCACTGTGATTGTCATGTGATCATAGATTTTATAAAAATTTGACAAACTAATACAATATGTATTACTTATACAATTCTATTATTTGAAATGCAATTCATATTATAATGCCAAATATTTTTATGAAATATTTTCTGAAATTTCAGGAAATTTCATAAAAATATTTGGCATTATAATAAAGAAATAGCTATTTGATATAGCTATTCCTTTCTGGCATATTTAACATAAACAAATTTTTAATTCTTTAAATATTTTCTGTATTATTGCTGTATGACATCATAAATAAAAACTCTTAAATGATTTAAATTATTGATATAATTTAAATGTATTAAAACTATATTGAAGAAATAAAAATCATCTTCATAAGTTTGTCATTCACAATCACTAGAAATCCAAAGAGTTTTCATTTACAACGACAATCTTTTATTGGAGGCTATGCTACTGCCAGTGGATGTTTTTAATTGTTTTGCATTTTTTACAGAGGCGCAGCCTGTAGTAAAAGGTCATTTCTGTGAATGAAAGCTTTTTTTTAATATTTAGTTCCTGTTGATTGTGAATGAAGATGATTTTTATTTCTTCAATATAATTTTAATATATAAATACTTTCAACCATTTTTAATCAACCATTTAAATGAAAACAATGTTTTTCTTCATAGATGTAATATTACTATAATATACACTACCCTACAATAATGGACCTGACACCAGCGGATTTGCATAAAATCCGACTGCATGTCAAATTTTATCCAAATCCAGTGCTCATACATTATCTGCTAAGGTTAAATATGAAAAGTGAAGTGGTAACGTCATTAGTTCTGCATGAAATTCTGACAATATGTCAAAACGAAAAGAACTTAGTGACTTTGAAAGGTGTTATAGTTGGTTGTCATATTAGTGGCAAGTCTGTTTGTGCAATTGCAGTAGAATTATCACAGCCACAGTTAACTGTTGGTGGTGATGTGAAGAAGTGGAAGACTATGGGAGTTGGGACATGAACTGCACATGTTGGTAGTCCCCATAAACTGACTGAATGAGATTGGCATGTCCTGAAGCATGAGGTTTGTAAGAACTGCAAGTAACTACTCCAAATCATCAACAGTGAGTTTCAACAGGCAGCAGAGGTTACAGTGCACCCCAATACTTTGCGGAAAGAACTGCAGGCCCTCAATATCCACAGATGTGTTGCCATACACAAACCAAACATCACCCCATCCAACAAAGCTCACAGACTCGCTTTGTGTTTGCAATGTCACAACTGGTCTGTTGACCACTGGAAAACTGTTTTATGGAGCGACGAGACACACTACATGCTCTTCCAGTCAGATGGGCGTGTTTGGGTTTTGAGAATGCCAGGTGAACGTCTGTTACCTGAGTGCATTGTTCCAACTGTCAAATTCGGTGGTGGTGGTGGTGTTGTTTGGGGGTGTTTTTTGTGGTATGGCCTGGGACCTTTGCATGTTATTCCTGGTAAATTGAATGCCTACACCTACATGAACATTTTGGACAATCAGGTTCTTCCTATGCTCTGGCAATTTTATGGAATGAACGAATGTTACTTCCAGGATGACAATGCTCCATGTCATGTTGCAGCCTCTATCAAGCAGTGGTATCAAGATATGGATGTCAACCATCTTCCCTGGCCTGCTCAGAGTCCCGACCTAAACCCAAGAGAACATTTGTGGGACAAGTTAGAGCAATGTTTATGGACCTGGAAACCACGTCCAAAATCTACAGCTGAGCTGGCAACATTCTTGAAACAGGAATGGACACAAATGCCCATAGCTATGTATCAAAACCTTGTTAAAAGTATGCCTAGAAGGGTTACTAGTGTAATTTCAGCACATGGGGGACCCTCCTCCTATTAAAGCATGTATTCTTTACCTTATGCCATCACATCTTGCTGTCCAGTCCATTATTGTAGGGTAGTGTAATTATCATTACAAAATCATTTACAAATTACATTACAAATTTAGCCCTTGCTTTACAAAATTTAATGGCCAGCTTCCTATATTGTTTGGCTGACATAGCCATAGGTATACTCATATATTGTAAATACTGGATATTATGTTAACTCTTCACAAATCACACTGAAATTCAAAATTTCCAGCAAATAAAAGTCAAAAATTTAAATAAAATAAAAAATAAAAACGTTTTCAGCCACTAAATTTATCAGTCTTATGGTAACTGAAGATCAGTTAAAAATGATTGAAAACGTTTTTATTTTTTATTTTAGTAAATTTTATTTGCATAGATTGTTAAAGATGTGTTTTTTATCCTATTTATCCAGTACATACAATATTTGAGTATATCTATGGCTATGCCGGCTAAACAATATAGGAAGCTGGACTATAATTATCATTACATTTATATAATTTATGATTTCATTAATAAATTATATTTTTATTCATTTTCATTATATATGAATGTTCAAAATATGTATAGGTCTATTCTTTTAATAAAATGGCTTTAAATTAATTATAATAGAAAATAATCTAAACTTTTTACAGGACATTGAAGATTTTGAAAGAAATGAATGGTGAAAATATGTTTGAACTTTCAAAAGAGCAAATGGAAAAATATTTAGGTCATGAAGAAGGAACAAGACTTAACAGTCATTTGACAGTTCAGAAAAATATTTGTGGTGTAAGTTTTTATTATTATTTTTTTTTCTATAGAACTTATGAGGCATGTGTGGAAAGTTTTCAAACTTTTAAAATATCATGACAGCTTGAATGCTCAGAAATATCTAGTAATGTCACATTTTACCACTTGCCTCTGTCAATCAGCTGAAGAGTCAGCTGATTTCCACTACTATAAAATGTAATATATTCCACTATTTTGTTTAACTTGCTGCTGTGTATACATCAGACAAAAGAAGTGTGTGATGGCTTCAGCAATTTTACTGTTTCAAAATGTGCACAAGATTCTTGCACATGCTTTTTGAAGTTTTTTTTTATAGATTAGAACTTTTCACAGAAACATTTTGAAATGCTAATGTAAGCAATTGGTAGTGAATGCATGAGTCAAACTCAAACAAATGAATAGCACATTTTAAGGAGGACAAATAATTATGTAAATATTGTCATCATGAATTTCTACTTCTTAGTCTGACTGTTAATAAAAAATACTATCCAGAGGTGATGAAACATTTGTGAAGGGCAGTGAGATTAAAAAAAGCCTAACTCACGGGAAGAGAATAAGTCCACTATATCCACTATGACAATAATAATAATATAATAATGGATAATAATCCACTATGACAAAGCGTCAGCACATTAATCATTATTAGTTTATAGGTACAAAAATCTGATAAACTCTTCTTTTGGAAGACTCCTTTTTTATTCCCAAAGCTGAAAATTCCACAGAAATTTTGATGTTTTGAAACCATTGAAGACATTGAAATAAATTTGATGATAGAATTAGGAGCTATTTCAGAAGAATGAAGTGCAACTTCATTCTTCTGAAATAGCTCCTAAGCTTCAAAAAATAGCTCCTATGAAATAGCTCCTAATTTCACAGCCAGTCTTAGATCAAAAAGATCTAAGACTGGCTGTGTAAAAAGAAAACAACATATTTTATTTAACTTTGATAGTCGTCACCTTCAAAATAATCCCTTCTGCATCACTATACCAATTCGGGAATTTCTACCAAGTATGGAATGCAATGGAAGTTCGGTTCTTGAAGGATGCCAAGCACCATCTGTGATTAACATTGGACGTCCTCTACTGTCAAAACAGTAACCCTTCAACTTGAAATTTATCTTTTGGAACAAGAAATTGTATGGCCAGATCCAACAAGTACAAAGGTGGGAAGCAACAATGGTTCTAGTGAGCTAAAAATGTTCATGTTTTCAGAGCTATGTGAAAGGAGCATAGTCATGCTCAAGTATCTAATTGCACCACAGTTGAGATCTTTTGTGTTGAACATCATAGTAGGACTTAGCATTCACTGTCTTGCCTACAGGATAAATTCTCAATGCACAATCCCACAAATGTCAAAGAAAATGATGAGCATGCTTTTGGTCATTCTTCAGACCTGCTTTGCCTTCAGTCTTGGCAATTGCAGATTCTTTCACTGCAAAGACTGCTATATGGTTTCTGGGTTGTAGCCATAGAGCCTGTCTTTATTGCCTGCTAAGATCCTGGAAATGAAGGTTGGGTCATCACGAACTTGCTGACAGAGGTCCTCACAGACCTGGATATAGTGCATTTTCTGCTTAATGCTTTGGAGTCTGGACATGATCTTTACTTCAATGCCATGCATGTTCAATTCAGACATATAGATTGCCTGCACAGTGACTTTGGAGACATTGTCTTTGATGGTTATCTGATAATCTTCATAAGATGTCAAATGTTCTCAACAATTTCAGGGATTGTGCTCATGGAATGTCAACCTGACTTTTTATCATCCTCCAGTGATATTCTGTCCCTTTTGAAGTGAAAAAACATTGCCCAGCTCATTGTTTTGTTGCTGTAAGCTTTCTGAAGAATTTCAAGGATCTCTGTTACTGATTTCCCCAATTTCATACAGAATTTGATGTTAGCTCCATGTTCCAGGTTCATATCCATGATGAGACACAACAACACACTAAAACATTGTCAGAAAGCTTTGTAACAGAATCTCCAACCAATGCAGCACATTTCCACTTTGCATACTGACTCACAAATACTATGTGCCCCTCTCACTACATGCTTATTATTGTGCAGCACCCCCTGCATTACCACAAGCTCAGTTTTAGAACTTTTTGATCACACCATATAGTTCTGGGAATGCTTCCAAAAGTTGAACACCTGGGATTCACATACTAGCAGTGGAGAAGCCTATGATACTTTGAAGACAATTTTATTACTTCTGTACATAGTTGTTTCTGAATGTTTAAATAAAAATAAACTTTCAAACAACCTTTTATGTAATCATATTTCATGACGATAGTTATCTTAAAACATTTACAGAATTGTATCTAGAATTGTTTGTGATGATATAAACTACATAAAATTTGTTCAAAAATATAAATAAATTATATTTTTTAACTACAGAAAAAACTTTTATAGATATAAGATTTGGAATTCTTATATACTTTGTTTAAAAAATAACATACAGTATTGTAAAAGTTTTTATATAATTCTTTAAAATTTTATAAATATTAAGTAAATAATATTACAATACTTAATATCCTAAGATAATTTTATGCAGTTTATTTTGAGTAATTTTTATTCATTTTCTTTTAGTTTAAAGCTTACAAACATCAAGAACTAAAATCTATTTTGGATAAAAGGAGGCAAAAAGTTGATGGTATTAGTGAACAAACCAACAAAGAAGTTTCTGATAATTCGTTGCCATCAAAGGTTACAAGTTCTAAAGGTTAGAAGGAATTAAATGTATAACTATATTATTCATAAATTTCTAAAACCGTGTTTTTTGGAATTTTATATATTTTGAATACTATTGTATTTGTTGTCATATCAATAGGCAGAAGCAAGAAATGGATTATACTGTATTAATTACTATAAAATTTTTTGGAATAAGTCTTTTCAAATACAAAACTAACTTGTTTTTAGATAACATTCAAAAATATATAATAGAGTACATAAAATTTCTTCTAAAATATATTAGCATTTGTAAAAAGCATTGATATAACACTTAGACTATCATAAAAATTCTTTTTTGTAGAAAATTATTATACTCAATACCTTTCAACAGGTATTGTGAGTGTATTTTTTAATATTTTCTATGATTCTTAATTTTACATATTTTAAAAGTTAATGAGTTTATATCTCCAGAGCAGAATAATTTTATTTCTTGGTTTGCTAATTTTATCAGTAATATATAATGTAATAGTCTCCATGTTTAAGAATTTGTCAATATTTCCCACAAAAATGCAAAATTTTTCAGAAACTGTACTCTCATTCAGTTAGCCCCCTTGAGTTGTATGTGCATGCCTAAGCACTTATGCAACCATTAACAGAAAAAATGCTTAAATGGGCTTTAAAATTTTTAGCAATGTTTTACAGTGAGTGACATTTTAGACTCATGTTTATGAAAATACTTTGTCAAATTTTATTCAATAGTTGAAAACAAAGTATTTACTTATATATGTATCAGTAAATACTTTGTTTATATATATATATATATTCAAAGGTGTCAAGTCATCCTACTCAGATGATCAATTATCATTGAATAAAGTCAGCAAATTTTATGTGATAAATTTCACAACTATCCCAACAAAACATGAATCCATGAATATGGATGATGCAAACCTGACTGCATATTTATTTCTTTGAAATTAAGTTTATCAAAATTATTCTGCACTGAGTTTTGAATTTAAATTCTAGTAATTACATGTATTTTATTCTAAAATAAATTTTTCATTTTACAATTATATTTAGTCTACTTACTTTTAGTTTTATATATTATTTTAGTTTAATTAAGAAATTTTAATTATTATGTAGAAGAAGAAGCCGATCCTGAAGTTGCTAGTAAAACTTTACGCTATCTCTTGAGAGATCAGCGAAAAAAGATTGCATCTCATTTAGAACAAAGTGAGAATAAATGAATTTCCATCATTTGATTGCACTATTATTAAGTGCCAATTGTGTTGATTACAGTGAAGAAATGTATCCACAGCTGAAGAACAAAGCCTCGGTTGTCCATCGTAAACTTTGTGTTCAAATTGTGCCTCTATCTCTAAACTGTGCCATTATCTAAAATAATTAGAAACTAATCATTTATAATGTAAAAAAAGAATGACAAGATTTTTTAAATCATTCTCATTTGGAATGTGATTGCTCATATGGCATTTGTATAAAATTTCTTCTATAAAGTGTTTTAAAATAGTTATACAGTAGAATTTAATATATTAACTTTTGTAATTATTTTAAAATATGCAATAATGAATTTTTGGATATTTCATCTCTTGAAAAATATTCTATATTGATTTTATAAATACAATTTTGTGCAATAATTTATAACAATTTGACTGTGAAGATGTATAATTCTAATATTGTATTTATAAACATTCCATTTTTCTAAGACATTTTATAATTTTGAATGCAATGTGTTTTGTGAAAAGTTCTTTTTATTGAAGTTTTTATATGATATATCAACAGAATGTGATTTCAGCTATTAAATTTTCCTAAAACACATTCATTCTTGCATTAGAATGCAGGAATGCATATTAGATTTAATCATTAGGCAATAATGATGATAGTTGTTACATACTATTAATATTACATATAATTTATTATTTAAGAAATAAGAACAGATTTAAATGCTTAAATATTAACATTTTTCATATTATTTAAAATTGATTTTCATACATTTTTGAACTATAAAAATCCACTTTATTCTGTAATTGTTGAATTTATATAATACTTTTTTAAATATTCAGTTATGTAAAGATATATTGTTCTGTAAAATCAACAGTTTAATGTTGTAATTAGTCAAATAAATAGATAAACAAAATATAAAATATCAATTTATTTTAAGCAATGAGGACCAATGGAATTTGTTACAAAAATTTCATGAATTTTTGTAATCCATTTTCATATATAACTAATTTGTATCTATTTACATAAGAGTATTTATACTCCTGATTTGTTCAATATCATGCACAAAAAAGAGCTTTGTGAGAAAAAAAAATTATATTCCATTCAGATGGCATTATACATATTTTACAGGAATAATGGACTATTTTCTTAATATTCAATTAGATCTAATTTTATCCCAAACTGTAATTAGCAGTTGAAAAAAAATTACTGTTGTTGTCTAAGTTTCTGTGATTAAAGATGAGCTTTGTATAATAAGAATACATGTAGAATGAGGATGCATTTATAAAATGATTCTCATTTTGTAAATGTGAATACGGTTCTAAATGCTCTTGTTATAATTTTGGGCATTATTAGCGATTACTTTGATGCAAATTTATTCAGTTAAATGTAATGTATTTAGACTTTTGAATTTAATGTTGACAATTAGATTTTGATTGACATGATTTTGTTATAAAATTTCAATTTGTTAACTGCCAAATATGGCAGGATTGATAAATAAATGACATTGAAATGATAATTTTGGATTTAATTAAAGTTTTCTTATTTATTAAGAACTGAACTTTTTGTAAATTCTTTTTACAAAATTAGATTTTATTCTAATTATTGAGAATTTGTTGTTGAGTTACAAAACAATAATTAATTAATATAAAAAATGCACTTACGATTTTTGAAGAAATTGGCATTAAGTAAAAATGACAAATATTTGTAAATGCATCAAACACATTAATATTTATATACAACATGTGAAAATATGCATAAATGTAAGATAAACGACACAGAAGTCACTAAGTTAACTAAATTTAATTATACACCGGTAAAATAAAGTATGTAATGACAAAAGATGAACTAATTTAGAATGCATTCCGCGTTACTCCTTCCTCTTCCAACAATTCTCGTAACTGTAAAAGTCCGAATTCCGTTAACACTTAAAAATTACCGGTATTGAATGGTAAAAGTCCGAAATCCCTGATAAATACCCGAAATGTGTACATTTTTACCATTCTCTCAATACTGGTAAATATCTGGAGTTATCGGACTTCGAACTTTTACTGTAACATATAGTACATTCCAGTTAATTGGGTCTGTCGTTTATTTGGGACATATATTGAAAGACGGAAACAAAAGTAATAAATTAATTATATAAGACAAATTTATTTCGCTTAATTGAGACATCCCGTCGCTTTATCGGTACAGCATACGGAATACAGTATGTGTTAATGGGCCAAATTAGAAAAGTTAGATACAAAGATGGATCACACGAATTTCAAAGCTACAGATATCCGATGGTTATCGCGATGGAAAACTTGACATGAAGTAAGATTTAAGAAGGTACACGGTAAAAAAACAGTGCTGACACTACGAGCGCCAAACAGTGGAAATCAACTAAGTTGCCTGAATTGCTGCAGGAATTTGGTCCTGATCAAATCTACAATGCGGATGAAACAGGGCTGTTTTACCATGCCAGCTAGATGGTTCCTGACTTACAAAGTACTGTCAGATTAAAAAAGAAAAAAGCAATGGGATTGCATTACTGTATTGTGTTGCTATAATATGTAAATAAGTAATAAACGGAAGTTGTTAGTCATTGGAAAGCAGGCTAATCTTCGGTGCTTAAAAGTTAGAATAGACTTTACCAGTTGAGTATTAAGCCTATGCTAACAATAATGCATGGATGACTAAATATTTTTCTGAAATGGCTTGCGAGTTGCGATGTAGAACTGCAGAAAATTCAAGAACGTTCTATTAATCGTACAATGCAACCTTGAAGCAATTGAAGGAAGCAGGAGAAATTAGTTCGAAGATTACTATTTTAGAAGCAATATAATATGCTGCTAGTAGTCAGAATTAAGCTGTAACACAATTCGAAACTGCTTTCTCATTGTGGTTTTAAGACTTCGGAAAAGGAAATGCCAGATATGACTGAGAGCGATAGTGAAATCGCTTATGAACTACAATATGTTATAATTTACGAATAATTTTTATATATTGATAACAACCTTCCATGTTGCAATGAAAATGATGATTGTCTAGGTGAAATTATTGAACGAGTTGTTTCGGGAAAACACCTAAAAACTAAAGAAAAAAGGATAGTGATAGAGAGATACTCCCGATCAAGACTTAGTGACCCAGGAAGCTAGCAAATTTATTCCTGAACTAAGACGAATATTTTATTCAAGATGAAAACGAAGGAAGTTCCATTGCTGCTTTGGATGCCTGCGCTGATTTTGTCCACTTGCAGAGTATAAAGAAAATACTTCAAGATACTCGATAAATTTCTGCAAAAATAATTGCTATTTTTATTGTTTAATGGTTATATTTTAATGTGTTATTTTTGAACTTGAATTTATTTACATATAGGTAATTAAAAACATAATTAATATTCAGTATTCAGTAATAAAAACATAATTAATATTCAGTATGAATATTAATTATGTTTTTCAATATACAGTTATTGTCTGTATTGCTCCTTTTCTATGTTAAATTTTCTCTGTTCTCATAAAATTCACTTTATTGGGACAGCCGCTTAATGGGGACAAATTAGTCAGATCTCGGTGTCCTAATTAAGCGGAATCGACTGTATATATGTTTACAGACAATCAGATGGCCAAGATGGTGAAGGTGACAGCCTTACATATCCACTCGCTCTGATGATCTGAGTTGAGTCCTGTAGGAATCTTAAATTTTCAGAGATGGTCTGTTTTCGATATGTCAGACCATGACATATCCATAATCTTTTGGCAATCCCTTAATAGGTATTCCCTTTATTTCTATTCTTTCATGGTTTTGACCTTGAAGGACAGAAATAAAGGGAATACCGACTAGCTAGAGTTCGTAACAAAGCGAACTTTTATCAGATTTTCAAATTTATTCATTATATGGCGTAATAAATCCTATATGTTTGTATACTGCATTTACCGGGAATTGTCAGTTATTCGATATAGGAAGAATTCGAAATTAGGGAATTTTCTTTAGTATTTTTCAAAATCAATGTGAATAATAAATTTCAAAGAGGAAAAACATTGTATAAAAAGTTACTAGAAATGTCTAGAAATTGCCTTATTATGATATAAATTGATTTTTCTACACTGAAAAAAAAATTGACATACCGGTACTTTAATTTTTCTTATTTCAAAGCTAAAATTATTATTTCGTTAATAAACTATAATAAATGTATTTTTATTCCTTTTCTAAAAGATTAATATTTCAAAATTTAAAAAAAATATTTTTCTAAATTTTAGTTACAACACAATTAAGTTCGAATATTTTATGTCGAATTAATTTAGATCGCACGTATCTATTCGTTAATTACAGACGATTTTATTTGATAATTTACATTAAACATAGCACCAATTTTATAGATGAACAAATGTTTGACTAATGCGAAGAACCTCAATGACAATTATATGTAGCCTATCGAGATCCACAACCAAGTACCTTATAAATTCGAGGATTTGGAAGTCATTAGGTTTAGTGATAAGTGTGTCGTTTTCAACGCAAAATGGCACATTTAATGATTCACAGACACTGAAGTGTTCTTTATTAATTTAAATATTTACGGAAACGATTCGTTTATATACACAGATTGATGCTGCATGGGAGGTTGCTGTAAGGAAATTTCAACTGTATGTTTCTTACATTCTTATCTTTTTCAACTTAAAAAATTATCATTAATTATAATTTTAATTCCAATAATACTTTATTATTTTATATATTATATTTTGCATTTAATTTCTTTATCCATAAAAAAATTAAATTATAAGAAGATTCTTTAATTACCTTAATTCATTGACTAATTCGTACGACCTTAGTGATATGGCCTTAGGAACTGTGAGACCCAATTAGAAACATTTTTTGCGAAGTTAAATCTATAGAATCTTAGTGGTATAAATAAGGATTATTATAGACTTTGTCTTCAGATTGGTTTCCTTTAGTGTCACCATCAACACAAAATCTTAAAAAATATAACAAAATATTAAAAGTGGCATCCATTACTGAACCGATAAAAAGCAAAGCATATCGTATTTAACGACTACCTCATATTTGTTTAAAAAAATATTCAGCTAACATCACATTTATACTTGCAAAAGTAACAAACTTGACTTGTATCTTATCATTTTTATGCGTACTAGACATACAACTACTGTAATACGCCTTTATTCATTGGTCCTAAGTACAGATTTATGTAAATAAAACTTAAATAGTTGAGTATGAATATAGGCCTGTAACACAAGTTGTAATAGAGATGTGTATGTGTATATATGTGTAGAGATGTAATATTGTAATTTAATCACATGGTACTGTTAAATAAAATTTTACACATTTATAGGTGTTTAAAAGCTGTTACACTTATATTCACATGTTTGTCTTTTTAGCTTTTTTACGCTATTTTATAATTAATGAACGCATTTAATGCAAGTACAGTACTATAAAAGGAAGGTTTCAAAATATAAGTTAAACAGTGTAAACAAACTCTGCCGACCTTTTAAGAATTCAAAAGAAAAGTGAAATCATTACAGTGATACCCCGAACTTACTTGATAGGTGGGACCGAGCGATAACCGCGTAAGTCGAATTCGCGTAAGTTAGGGTATAATTTCGCAATTTGTGTAAAATCCAAATTCGGATGTATGTAAGCTAATAAATATTCTCGTTAATCTTATCACGTCTTTTGATTCATTTACGGTTACAAGAAATCACCATATAGAGTCCCTCGAGTCTCCGTATATATAACAAACACAGAAATAAATAACACAAAATAAATTGTAACTATGCGTCGATTCCGCGCGACACATCCGAACATGTGAGCTGAACAATTGAGTGGGGGGAGTGAGTAATCAACAGCTGCGTGCCGCTCAAACAAAAGACGAATCTACGAGATTTGAAAATCGCGTAAGTCTGGGTAGCATAAGTCGAGGTATTACTGTATTGTTCTTTGTAAAACCTATAACGCTGTATTAGGTGTATGTGTTTCAATGTGTTATCTAAATATATAAAATTACTTGTCCTGACTGACTGACTGAGTGATTGACTGATTCATCATCGCCCAGAGCAAACCGCTGAACCTAAAGAGGTAAAATTTTGTACACAGTTAGGGTACGTCATGAAAACGCACACTAAGAAAGGATTTTTCAAAATTCCTCCGCGGGGGGGGGCGAAGGAGAGGATTAAGGCTTAACATTTTGATAACAAATTGATAAAATTGAAAATAGTTCGTTTGATTCTCAGCAATTCTCGTCATTCTCAGCGGTAGGTGTTATATAACAATTAGTATGGTTGTTGAAATACTGAATATAAATGGGGTTTGCTTGCAAAACCCCCGCGGGCGAAGTCGCGGATAACGGCTAGTATTTTATAAGACTAGATTAAATTACCCAATGGACTTAAAGCCGGCCCTACATGGCTCATTATATCAAATGAGTTTGGTACTCCTTTTACTTCTAATTTTTTCTTCCCTTTTTTTTAACATTCCTTTTTACTCTCTTCTTTCTTCTCATAT